ACTCTCTCTCTCTCTCTCTCTCTCTCTAGGATTACCTGCTTTCTTTCATTCACTTCCACTCTCTCTCAAAAGGGGGCTTTGTAGGTTTTCACCGTGACAATGTGAGAAATCGTATGCTCTCTCTCTCTCTAAACAAATGGTTTTCTCTCTCTTCCTCTGTCCTACTCTCTCTCTCTACATGAGCTGTTTTTTGAACTTTTACTCTCTCTCTAAACAAATGGTTTTCTCTCTCTTCCTCTGTCCTACTCTCTCTCTCTACATGAGCTGTTTTTTTGAACTTCTACTCTCTCTCTCTCTACATGAGCTGCTTTTTTTAACTTCTACTCTCTCTCTCTACATGAGCTGCTTTTTTGAATTTAGCTTATCTTGATTCTTGCTGAGTCGTTCTCTGTTATTACAAACATGCCCTTAAGTCAAGTGTATATAAGAGCGAGGCCTTAAACAATCAAATTAAGGTGCACCTTAATAATTCACTAGAAGTTATTTCAATACTGAAAGGCTCTAAATCCGATCGTCTTGACTTTTAGATGGATAAGCATAAAAAAAATAAATAGGCTAGATCTATATTATTTTTTAAAATAGATACGCTCGATCGACAAGTTTTGAAAATAGAATATCGTGTAATGTAAATATCTAGCCGCCAATTTTCAAGTTTTTTAAATGTTCATAGATATGTTCGATCTACATTATTTTTTAATATTTAAATTTTATAATTCAAGATGAAAATAAATTTTAAGGTCATCATAAAGATCTCTGGTACTGAAACAACATGTTTTGGCAATATATGAAGGTGCACCTTATTTTGATTGTTTAGAGCATCAACCTTATACAAACACACCCATATTGTATATAAATATTACAAAAGTCCCATGTGGGGATTTTCAAGATAGTGACTTCAGATTTTTTTAAGAAAATAATTAAAAATGTACAACTATGAGTATTGAAAATTCGAACATGGGACTCACTCTCAATCTCTAGAGCGATAGTAAGAATGTTCTCTTTATAGACAATCCCATAGCTCCAATAGAAAATTATTCGAAAAAAAAAAGATAACTTGCCTGTATCAACAGCATGATTAATAGCCATATCACTAAACATGCCATTAGTACTCGGCCAAATAACCATTGCTCACACTAAAATTCCACCTTGTTCATTTTTAGTATTCGTAAGAAAAATGAGAATAATTATCATCATCAGGGCATTTTCGCAACAATTTAGGGTCGAGGATATAAGTCATATTTCACCATTCTGCTCTATGAAGGACCCATACTGTTAGTGAGTAGGGGTGGCAATAAACCCAAACCTGACCAAGAACTCGACGATTCAACCTGACCCAAGTCTGGGTATGCGTCAAAAAATTGGACCCAACGTATAAATTCTATTACACAATATAGCACCCGAGATAGGGGAGAGATGGAGACCATTTATTATGAAAGCTTTAGAGGTTTTATTTCTCTTAAAAATATGTGAGAAAGATTTGTGTAGAACGACAATAATTTAGAGTTCGTACCATTGTCATTGTCAATATTACATGAGGTATCCTCAAAAGCCGATGAATATATTTCATTAACTATATCCCTATGCAAATGGTATCTTCTCTCTTAGTGGTAGGGGATATTGTCATTGAAGAATTGGTTTGATGATGAAAGAATAATATTTATCAATAGCATATCTAAAATGAAATAAAGATAATGAAGTCTAGAAGTTTTTTCTCTCCAAAAATTATGTGAGAAATTTTTGTGTATACTGATAATAATTTGGAGGTTTGTAAATGCCACTATGATTTTTATTTTTATTTTTATTTTACTAGCAAATTTTGGAAGTATATTTTGTTGCTCTTGATTGATCAATATTTTTGGTGTAGAATCACTTTGTGAAATATTTGTTTCTAAAACTTGAGACTGTTCGAATTGCATATGTTGATCTACCTTTTGCATCACTCTCAGATGAGCACAAGAAGTGCATTACATGGATCATTGTTCAAAGAACTCTTACTTATTGAGTGGTGTCTAGGGTTACGACCCTTTTCCTAGTATTACGTAGTTACTACAAATTTTGAATATGGATTTGAATATTAATTTCCTATTATGTAATATCACTATAAAATTTGAACATATGTTGAATGTACGTGACAACTACAACAATTATTATCGCAGATAAATATTGCACCATATAACAATGAATATATGTTATTTGATTTCATGGAAGTACAGCATGCATGATGACAAAAAATGGGGGAAAAAATAAAAACATAGTACGCACGTATGTATGTATGCATTGATTTCAATAAATATTGCACTACATAAAGTACATGGTTAGTGCTCTATCAACCGTTTTATTGAATATTACGGCAAACAATGAGAAAATATAAGTATTTTATTTTATTATTTTATTAGTACTATTATTTCCTCATACCTTTACCTTTATTCATGCGATCAAGAAGTTAGGGAGCGAGGGTTGTGGAGAGAATATGTTAGGCTTCTTGATTTCCAGCAATTGAGAAGGTAAAATTATATAATTTAAAAGATAGAATCCCTTCATAGTGACTTACCTAGATTTAAGATTTTAGTTGTTTACATCAAACATTATGATAGGGACAACATTGGTGCCCAAAAGAAAAGTTAAAGAAGTCAATGCCATTATTTGAAACTTGCAACCATCATGAGGAAAGAAAAGGCCTTAGTATCTCCAAGCCCCATGAGATTCTGAGTTCGAATCCCACAATTATCCATTAAAAGCATAGAAAGAAAACAAACAAATATTTTATAAAATCCTTATGAGTTCTCCCAGCAAATTCTGAAGTTAAAAAGAATTTCAACTAACCACATGTCAAAAATAAGGGAACCTATTATGTTTGGTTGCTTATTGTATTTCTTTTGAGTAAATTATTCGTTGAATACATTCATTTGCATGTTTTCCAATTGGACGATGGGATCGTAGAATCAAAATCCAAAAGCCCTTTTTTCTTTTTTTATTATTTTTTATAAAATACTTCTTCAAAACATCAAGATAGTTATACATATATCTTTTCTACGCAACATGCCGGGTGAGAACTAACTCCTCATTTCATCCCTGACGGTACCATCCAATGTTTTCATTAGTTAGTGCAGTGATCACCTATCTATAGATGGTGTCCATCTTCTCTCTAAAATCATCACCCTCCATGTATCCCCAATAATCATCTCTCTCTCATCTTCTCCCTAAAATCATCACCCTCCCTGTATGCCCAAGAATCCTCTCTCTCTAAATGTGATGTTTCTCTAAATAGTCTCTCTTTTTTTTATTACTGTGTATTCTCGAGAATCCTTTCTCTCTCTAAACATGATGTTTTTTTAACTTCTCTCTCTATAAGTGTGACGGTTCCCTACGTACTCTCTATTTTTATTTTTGTATAGTATATATCAAATAATTAACAAAATCATAACTACCCATTGCCACATGAGTGCCTAACATATTATTGACTTCTCTTTAATGGTTTGCCGATCGATCTCTCTATCTATCTAATGTCATTTTATATTAGAAATCCAAAATCAAGTAAAAACATGACAAAACTATTTAATGAAAACACAAATGTTAACGAAACTGAACCAATATACTAAAACCATAAAACATAACGATGAATCATTACCTCAAAAAAGTCCAAAATAAAATAAAAGCATAAAATTTAACAAAAGTGCACCAATATAACAAAACCATAAAGTATTACGGGGAACCATTACCTCAAATAACAAACTCTAGACCAATACAAACCCAAGAAAACTTACCTACATTAAGAAATAACAACATAAACCAAATATAAGAGACCAAAGAAAACTTACCTACATCAAGAAATAACAATATCAACCAAATATAAGAGAGTGAGTACGTCTGAATGGAAAATATAGATTACTAACATAAAAAAAATTACATGAAGGTAAAGTTTTGAGTTCTATAACTACAAATATGTATCTAAATATTGGTAGATGCTAATCGTCACCGATAAAAGTCACGCAGTTTTTTAAGGGAGATGATGGGAAAGTACACATCTATTTAAATTGGAAAAAGTTTATATAAGGTTGCAACCTTATAGTGTAGGGTAGAGCTATAGATGCACCTCAAAAATCTATCGAAAAAAGTCGATTTAATGTTGAAAAACCCTGTGATTGATCATCACCACATCAAGATGTATGACCATGAAAAATAAAAAGATTTTAAGTCTCAAAAATAGTACGTTTTACAACATATTATCTACACCTTCCATTTTCAAGATTTTCATATGTTTATAGATCTAGTTAGATATAAAAATAGATTTTGAGATAATCATAAGGACATTTTACATCAAAATTATATACCATGATAAAATTTGAAAGCGCACCTTACCTCTACGGATGCATCTATATGCTAACTGCACCCATTTAAATTTGGTATAAGATTGAGAAAGGTATATAGTTCAATTAAAGAGGGAACATAACTCTGGCGTCTCTCTAATCTATATTTCTCTTCACCTACATGATAAGCATGGAATTTCTCTCTAATTCTTAATACACATTAAGAATAGAAAGTTGACGATTTTAAAAGGGTAAACATTGGTAAATAACTTCCACCATAGATAAGTTTCCATATTAATGAGAGAGAAAAGAAAGGAGAGAGAAAATATACGTGGCCAGGATATTGATAGAGATAATAAAAAAGGTAAGTTTCTATATGGAAAATATAGATGGAAAAAATATAACATCCCATAAATATGGGAGCAATGAGAATATTGAAAAGGGCGAGAGAGGATCATATAGATAAATTTACATATTATGGCGATAAGAAAGGAAAGAGAGAATGAGCAAAGTGGAGTACGTGAGATTGAGGCTTACTCTATCTCTCTGTTTATCTATCTTTATTTCTTTCTCTCTCTTCCTTTAGAGTTAAGATTGTGTTTTTAAGAGATTTTTTTCTCTCTAAAATATACGTCTATCTTCTCTCTTCCCTTAACACGTAGGAGTTTCTTTTTTGATATCTTTTTTCTCTTTCTTTTTCATATGTCTGTTTTTTCTTTCTCTTCTTTTAGAGTAAGGAATGTATCCTATAATTTTTATAAAATGAGGGTTCTTTTTTATTTTCGCTACATTTGTCTACACCTTAATTCATGTTTAACAATATAGTATAAATAGTTCAAATCAAATATATAAACACATGAAAATATTGAAAATAGACCATTCGGATAATATGTTGCAAAATGCACTATTTTCTTGGGACTTGAAATATTATATCCATACATCTTGATGTCGAAATGATCAATTAGATGTTTTTTCAACATCAAAACAACTTTTGTTGAGGGACATTTTAGGTGCACCCTAATTCTACATTTCAATGTATCAACCTTGTGTGAACTTTTTCCAATAAGTAAAGCCTAATCTCAAAACTCGCCCCAAATTATTGTTGGGATTGTCTACAAAGAGAAAATTTATTTTTTATATATAAGGTCACAATCATTCTCGTCTCTTAAATTTCAAAACAATTTATCTTACAATCATTCTTGTTTCTTAAATTTCAAAATGGATAGTTGTAAGAATATCATTGAATAGACATAAAATTTCAAAAAAAAAAAAAAAAATTCGTATAGAACCCTAATTTCTCATATGATTTCATGGTAGACTTTTATTCTGTTTTTCTTTCAACCCGTATATGGAAATCCCAAAAATTTGACTGTACCCCTCATCTCTCATCTCTTTCTTTTATTGACTTTTTTTACTATAAAAATTACTAAAAAAATTTTTAGGTTAAAATGATATAAAAAGATTTATTGGGACTAATTTTTGTTGGTCAAAAGTCAATACAAGATGAAGATAAGAGATAAGGGGTACAGAGAAATCTTTAAAGGTTTTTTTATGCGGCTTGAAAGAAAAACGGAAGGAAAATCTACTATCAAATAATATGAGGAATTGGGGTTCTATACGAGTTTTTTTCAAAAGAAAATCAATTCACCCCAAACTATCCAATTTGACATCTAACTAAGTGAAACTTATTTTGATCTCTATATAGAAAAAATTAGTAACTTTGTAGACAATCCATTATCGTTCTAGCATGGAAAACCTTCAAATTTATCTTCCCTTTAAATTTTTCATCTCAGCCTTCACCATTATGGTTGAAAAAAAAAAAAAATGAGGCCATGTAAATGGTGAATATCTTAGCATATTATTTAGACGGTTCAGCCTTACATGTGCATCACAAGTGCGTGTTTGATAATAGAGAAAACCCGGGAAAGTCTCCGATTCGTACAGTTTCCACCTGTTTGATAAAAGTAAAACTGACGAAAGCGGGAACTTATTTTACCCCATTTCACTGTTCCCTTGAGTAAAGTAGCGGACAACGGGGACATGCGTTGCCACTTTCTCCACCCACCATTGCCGCTCGGCCCACATAAACACGGCCCTGCAACTTCTCTCCTCCTCACCCAAAGTTCACTCTCTCCTTGTCGCTCCAGGAAACCTAATATCTCGCTCTGGACGGAGGATATCAGGTACGCTCATCACCCTCTCTCTCTCTTGATCTTGGTCTCTTTGTTTCTCTCTCTACAATTTCCGAGACTGGCTTTTCTCAGTCTCATTTGTGTTGTCTCTAGATATTATTGAACCTTCAGATGAGTTTGAGTCTCTCTCTAGAACTTTGAGATGATTTTGGTCTATCACTCGACATTGTTGTTGGAGGTTTCAGTGATCTCTCTCGAGAAGTTTAATAGGGTTTTGTTGTTAATGTTGGTTTTGCATGAGAGAATACCCAAATATAATATACGGTTTTTAAGAGAACATAAATACCCAACTTTAACAGGGTCAAGTTGGTTTGTTCTATTCATTGAACTGAAGAACCATTCACAGTTTGTTATCTAGTTTCTTTTCTTTTTTTCTTCAAATTTTTTGCATTTTTTGTCTTTTTACCATGAATGGTGGTTTTTTCTTTGGACTGCTTTGTGAGGTGCGATTCTTTTTTGCCTCTTTTGAGGTGCTGTTCCTTTGCCTATTTTGAGGTGCCATTCTTTTTTTTAATGTGTTTTTTACGTGGAATTCGACCGTGCTTTGGTGTGATCTGACTCTGGCTTCTTATGATTTTCTAATAGCTGGCGACCTCCTTGATCTGGTATTCATCTGTTTATTGTTTGATTGCTTTGCTATTTCTGTAATTTCTCACATCTTAGGATTTTTCCATGAATATTTTATTCAGTTTATCCATGATTTATTCATCGTGCTCATTTTTTCTTATGCCCTTTTTTTGAAACTTCTGCCATGAATAAGTTGATCAGTCAATTATTTTGTTCCATTATTTTCGTTGCGAATTATTGCTTATGTAGAAATGCTACGGGTGGACTCTGTGGTTCAAATGAGTTGTTGGATGGAAGTTTGTTCTCCTTTCGTTTGGCTTTCTGGGAGAAATTATTGTGTTAATTTCATTCTTTAGATTAGAGCCAGTGTTTCACTTCTAGTTATCGATATTCTCTCCCTGTTTTTTGGGATCTACATGGTCAATGAGCATTGCACGATATAGGAACAAACTTCGATCCCAACCATTACATTTTATAAGATATGAATTTCTGAAAGTTTTGACCTAAAAGTATTAGAAGGATCCATAATTGATTTGAATGGATGTTTTCATGCAAGGATCCATAGTTTTTTTTCTGGGAAAGTCAGTGGGGAGAGGGCCCTTACCCTTGGTAGGAATTGATCCTTGGACATAGCGTTGCAAATCGTCAAGTCTAACCAATGAGGCCTAGGCACTTTTCCTAAGGATCCGTAGTTGATTATATGGAATTGTACTGAGTTGTATTGTTCTCTATATATGTTCATATTTTTTGCCTCGAGTTGCAACGCTCGAGTTTCGTAAGACCTTCATGGTGAACTTTGATATGGTTATGTACTTATCTTTTCTGGTGCACTCGTGTGGTTGAAATTTGATTTTTTATTGAGGGTTTCTCTCTTAAGTTACATAGATATGAGATTAAATTTCAATCTTAACAATACATTGTAAGAAATGCATTAGATGGGCTGTAGCAAGAAAATGGTTAGTTTCCTGCTTTCCCATTACCAAACATGTGAAAATAGCAGTTTATCAAATAATGTTCCCAGCTATCAGGCTACCAATTTTCACTTTCTCCCCAGATTTCAGGAAAGTCAACAGCTGGGAGAATCTCAGGGAAACTGCAGAGAAAGTTATCAAACGCACCTCAACTGAGTGTGAGCCTTCAACTATCATTTTCTTTATTGCAATATCCTAGAACTCGATTTATTTGTATTGTCGGGGGTCAAATTCAATCAAACCAGAATCTTTGTAAAGTAACTTTATTTTGGCCAGCCTAATAAGCAGTTAGAAGTCATATAAGGCATGGTTTTAAATTTTAATGTGTCATATAAGACATGGTCAACTTACATCTGCAAGTGAAAATGCTGAGTATTGTGAATTCTCTTAGATCTAATGTCTTAATTCATATGTTCTAAGGAAATTAAGTGGACAAAATAAAAAATACAAAAAATTTGTTCAAGTTGGTAATAGAAGATGATCAAGAAGCGGGTCCTTATTCTTCCTTAAATCGAAATCACAGTCTACAGCTAGGGCTTTAATTTAAGGGAAAGGATATTTTGGGCGGACAAGGAGAGAGAGAGAGTATCATTTGAAGGCTTGATTGGTTGATGCTCACTGGTAATAGTTAATTTGCAGCTAGTCACAACATGACAGATGAATCCTCCTCTCATCCAAACACCCTAGTTGACCATTGGGTGGTGAGCATCTATTTATTTTTGCTCTTTTTTCTCTCAATCCATCTGCATTGCTGAACATTTAAAAAATTCATGCAACTGTTTGCTATCTTGTCATTCACCTTCTTTGTTACTAATTCATTTTGTTGGTTTAATGGGGTTACAGGCTCCGGGTGATGTAGTTCTTGACCTAACCAACATGGCGAACCAAACCCTTAAACTTGGTGGTGGACTTCGTCAGGTAAAACTTATTGTCATTTTTTTCTCTTGTGTGAATAAGGGTTTAAAGAGATTAGGCCCTGTTTAGTTCCTTGGAAATGGGTATCCTGGGAAGATGCCTCTCCTCGAATTGGTATCTCCTGAAATTGGCAACTCTTGGAATATGGGTGTCTGCTGTTTGGATAGCATCTGATAACAGGCCTGAAAGATGCCTATTCACTGTTTGGATTGTATTGTAATAATATTGGTCCTATAATATTATGTTATAATTAGAACATAATATTTATATGATATATATTTATATATTAATTTTATGATCATCATCATTTTAGCTTTTTCCCAATTAATTAGGGTCGGCTACATGAATCCCGGTCTCCATTTTGCTCTATTAAAGGCCATAGCCTCAGTGAAGCCATAAGTCCCCGTATCTTTTCGGACTACTTCCAACCACATCCTTTTGGGCCTACCCCTTGTCCTTTTCAATCCTTCCACTTGAACTAACTCGCACCTCCTAACAGGTGTTGTACTTGGTCGGCGCCATACATGGCTAGCCCACCGAAGTCTACTCTCTTTCATCGTTTATTGGTGTCACGCCTAAATTCTCTCGAATAGATTCATTTCGAATTTTATCCTTTTTTGTTTTGCCACTCATCCATCTCAACATCCACATCCCCGCTACACTCATTCTATGGGTATAGGGTATATTGTTTTTTGTCTGTCTTCTATAATATTGTATAATATTATACAATATATTAATTATATATTAGTATATATTTATTATATATTATACTTAAATAATTAATTATATATAACTATGTATTTACTATAATTGTTACATATTAGATTAATTATTATATTATTATTTTGGTGGAATACACATCTCACTTTTTGGCCTCAAAATGTCGAAATCTGTATTCCACCTATTTTGGTGGAATACACTTTTCCAGTTTTGGACTCAAAACATGGATACCGGTCTCCATGTGGAAACTGAAATCCCACATCCAGGGTGCATCCAAACTGCATGAACGGGTCTTATCCATGGAAATGGGTCCTAGAGACCAATTTCTAGGGAACCAAATGGACCCTTAGGGTTTTATACCTCAAAAAAGTAGAATTAGGTTTTGTATGGTGGATTTTAACTTAAAACCATGTAATCCTCCAATCAAAAGAAATTGTTCACATTTCCAAACTTCAAGGATTCTGGTTATCATTACTCTTTCTCAAAAAAGAAAAAAAGAAAAAAAAAAAGGATTCTGATTTCCATGTATTGTTTTGGTGTTCTTTTAGCAACAAAAGTCGACATTTTCTGGTTTGGATTCTATTGTAATGCCTGTTTTCAATTTTCCGTACCCTATTTTTATTGATTTATTTATATGTGCGGAGTTTGGTTAGGATTTTGAATTTATATATTGTCTTTTCGTAATGTTTAATGGCATTTTTTTTTTCTTTTGGCAAGAGTCAGAAAAAGGAGCTATGTTTTAATATCGAGAAAAAAATTACTTCATTTTCTGATTTATATTTATTAAATGTCCAGGAATGTGATGCTATTATTGTCACAAAAGCTGGGAGGTTCAAGTTCTCAAAACCCAATAAATATTGGGTTGAAAGTTCCCAAAAGAGGGTGAGTATGATTTGTTCACCAGCTTATGAGCTTGCATGATCATTGGGTTTCTTTATGCATTATTGCATCATTTGCTTGATGCATTCTTGCTCTTGCAATTGTTGGGTTGCATGTTTTGTTTGATGATTAACATAGTCTTTTAGTTGTTCCTTTATTTTTTTGGTAATAATATTCTAACTGGGTTACCTTAACATGTTCGTTTTTTATTGCAGTATGTACCATGTGTTGAAGACACAGTTCTTGGTATTGTGGTTGACTCTAAGGCAGATGTAAGCTTTAAAGTTTAGCTTGTGTTGGTATTGAGCCTCTTAGGCATTCGATTTATTGAACCAATGTCAAAAGTATTTGGTTTCAAGGAAGCATCTGATTTGAAATGACTCACTTATTGACAAGTTCTATTATCAATTGAACAAATTTATTATATGTTTTATTCTGTGCATTTAACATTTAACTCTTGTAGAACATAAGCAGAAGATATTGGATCTAAGAGAATTCACATTATGCAACATTTTGAATTGCAAAATTACTAGTTGACCATATCTATATGACTTCATTGCTTATTAGGCTGGCTAAAATGAAGTTACTTCACAAACATTTTGGTTTGACTGAATTTGATCCCAAACAGTACTAATAAGTCATTTTCGAAGATATTGAGATAAAATAAAATGATAGAAAAAGACTTACACTCACTTGCGGTGTACAAGTAGAGCAGGGCCCGGCTAGGGCCGGGCCAGGCCACATATTTGTTCTTATGGCTAGATCAGGCCAGGGTCCCCTGAGTCCTGGCCAGGTCTATATGTTGAGGGCCAACCCTTGCGCAGCCCAGGCCCGGCCTAGCCCAAAAGCCTCGCTTGCCTGGTGTGGCCAGCCCGATATTGTCTTTTGTACTATTTTTATGTTCTTGCCCTTTTTTGCCTTTTTCTGGCCCTCTTTGCCATTTTTTGACATCATTGAAAACTAAAAATAGCTTAACGGGTCAGCATAAGAAAAATTGACACTGTTTTTATGTTTTTAGGTAAATTTCCATTAAAGAAACTGCACTAAATAAATAGATCACCATCATCATCATCATTAGAGCCTTATCCCAACTATTTGGGGTTCGCGCACTAAATAAATAAATAATAAATTGAAAGGGGAAATTATAGAGATAACCAGGGCTTTAGAAAGAAACTTTCTATGACAGCTTGAAGGAATCTTGGGTTTTCTTCAAGATAGTTGATGTTCCAGAGGGGGAAAATGTTTTGAGACCTGAGACACAGCTCAACACCATGAAACACCGAAAAAAGCTTCCAAAAAAACTAAAAAAATAAAAAATTACCTAGATGAGAGATTGAGGTTGGGGGCTTGAGGCCTGGGTGAGAGCTCCGGCTGAGACTTGAGAAAGAGGATGATCCACATGTTCACAGTTTGAGGGAGGGAGGGAAGGTTTTAGAGAGAGAGAGAGGCTCGGCTAGGTTTCTCCGCAGGGTTTTTCATTTTCGTCGAGAGATAGGCTCAGGTGGCTAGGGTTTCTTTCTCACTTCAAAATTCAAAAGTCCAATAATCCAATTGGGTTTTGGGGTTTTAACTCTAAATTTTTTTTTTTTTGGGATCCTATAGAATATATAAATATAATCCATCAACCATAAACTATAAGATTTGAAGGTCTATAGACTATGGAATATATAATTATAATATACTTTTATAAAAATTATAAGTTTATGGTATAGGAAATTTAAATTTTATATACTATATGTTATATAGTTTATATAGAGACTACAATATTTTGCGCTGGGCTTGGGCTGGAAAAATAAATGCGCCTACTGCCTTGCTCGGGGCTGCCCTGTGGATGTCAAATTCGTGCCTGAATGCAACCCGAGCACCAGGCCTGAGCCAAAGCCTGCGGCCTTGGCCCAGCCTGTTGGCAGCCTTCACTACAAGGCATAGCTGCTCCCACCCTGTAGGAAGTTCTAGTGGCTCCAACTCCTAAGTTTAGGTTGTCCTCCCTACCCTATATTAGTTATCAATCAATAAAACTTGTAATCAGTGGCTGGTCACTAAGGACATGTGGAAGCTAATCAGACTGCAGATTTATTGGTTAATATGGGTGCAATTGATTTAGATCCATGTCTTGTTTGATATTCTTATTTGCGAGATGCTATCCACACCTGGTTCTGAACTATACACTTTTTTCTTGTCATTCAAATGAAATTTTGAAAAACAAGTTTTTCTTATTTGGAGCTTCTCGTTCACTGATATTTATCATCTTTTGAAACTTTTTTGATGTGACGATCTTTATGAAATATAAAGGGTTTTGGGTAGACTGGCATGATCTCATGAGTCATGAATGTTTTAATTTGGATTATGCTTCACATTCCTTGTATGTGTGTCCTAGAATGTTACATATTCTTGTAATTTTACTGTGTACTCTTTGTCGTCATCATCGTGGTAATCATCATGATATATTTTCTGAGCCATTGTACTGGGGTTTTTGGATCTTCCAATCTGTACTGCTGTTGTTTGATGCTTATGTCCCATCTGAATAAATTAATGTCTTAATGTTTATTTTAGGGCATTTTCTATTACTTTCCAAGATTCCTGACTTATAGCTTCTAAGTGATAACACTGCTTAAGTTCTCTTATGCTTTCTCCCAAGATTCTTCTTAGTTGCCCTTCTTACTTTTTTTATGGGTGACATCTAATGGAATTTAGCGTCCAAAGTGCCTGATGTTTCTGTGTTTTTTCTGTGTGTATCATTTCCGTTGTTTCATTTCATGTTTCATGCCTTGACATGCAACCTTTAGATACGTTAGTATTAATATTCTATTATTTTTCCAGAACTTCTTGGTAGACATAAAAGGACCAACCTTGGGATTTCTACCTGTACTGGCATTTGAAGGTGGAACTAGGAGAAATGTACCAAAATTTGAGGTAAAGCATGTTCTATAACAATCTACAGTCAAACTTTCAAAGTTGCCTTCCTATGAAGAATGGAAAGTTTTGAGGTGGATGAACATTGCATCGCCATTGTTGCGTGATTATTGGCTTTAAAATCTAAAACATTGGAGGGTGCCATAAGGTAATGAAATAATAAAAACGACACTTTGCCGTATGTCTTTAATGACTTTTCTTCTTTTTTTTAATATGGTAATTTATTGGATAAAAAAGTTATTGAAACTCTCTTACTACAAAAGTTAACAACTTAAAAAATATGATAATGTATTGAAAGGGGAAATGGTTAGTGAGATTTTCAAGTGCTAGTGCCAATAAGGCTATGATATGTCTTTAATTCTGTCTGTAGTTAGATGCAAGCTCATTCTGCAATGCAATGGAAGGTCCCATGTTGGGTATAAATTCATTGTGAGCTTGCATGTTTCAATTATATTTATTAGCATACTAGTAAATTACAGAAAGTTATCTACAGATATAATTATGCTTGCAAGCTTTTTGAGAAGGTTATACTTAATAAGGTTAAGTGCTTGGGGACCATGTTTTGGGCTTTTACATACTAACTTTTAACTTTCAATGCCACAGATTGGTACCGTACTTTATCTCCGGGTGGTTAAAGCAAATACCGGCATGAACCCTGAGCTCTCCTGCACTGATGGTACTCCACAACATTGTAGTTTGTCTTCACATGCTCTCTGTGTTATTTTCAGATAATTTACTTCATATCTAAACCTGGATTGCTTACATCTAGTTTCATGCTTCACATTCTCAGTTTAGTCTTGTTATTTTGGTGACTAAAAATAGTTGGATGGTTTGATATATATCTTTGATGGAAACCTTTTTACAAAATTTGCACTTTATAAAGTTATAAAACATATGGCCTCTTCCTGATATATTATATGTGACACAAGGTTGTTAACGGGCCTGGACCCTGAATGGTCTATGCCATTGATTTGTCTGAAGTTTTTTGTTTTTTTCTTTCGCTTTAGTCATAGGAAGTGCTACCAGAGCTGACAATAGAGTTTGTTATTCAACTGATAAAAGAATAAAGTGAAAAGAAAGAAAAATATCTTTTTCTTTCAATATATTTGTGAAAACTGTTGGACCTGGCCTTTTTTATGGCAGAAAATACAACATGTATAATTTCTTTGGTTATTAAATTCCTCTCCACTTCTTGTTACCGATATCTAGAGCTTACCATTGCTTTCTTGTCATTTTATTGCCAGCCACTGGAAAAGCCTCAGAATTTGGACCCATAAAAGATGGTTACATGTTTGAATCTTCTACTGGTCTAGCACGCTTGTGAGTATCCCTTTTGGTCATTCCATTTGGAAAAGCTAAACAGAAAGCGATGAAGACAAGGCAAAATAGAAAAAGATAATTAGACTTCAAAAAGTATGAAAGATACATCGTGTTATTGACTTTTCTTACTCTACAGGCTACTGAGCCGGCCAACATGCCCAGTTCTTGATGCTCTTGGGAAGAAGCTATCATTTGAGATAGCTGTTGGGTTAAATGGCCGTGTTTGGGTACGATCCTGGTCCTTTTCCTCAATTAAGAACAAAGTCACCCATTCTTATTATACATTCAGCATTTATGTGTGTTTGTGTGTGCGTGCACTCACACGTGAGTGCTGCTCACGCGTTTGTGGAGAGAGAGAGAGAGAGAGAGAGAGAGAGAGAGAGAGAGTAGTTAGTAGTGTGTGTTGTTAGTTTGAGTGAGGTAGGTAGACGAGAACAAACAGCAGTACGTAGTACTACTTAGTTCGTTCCTTTCTTTAGTACTTCGTGTTGTCGTGTGTTGCTATCG